GGGGGGTCACACACGCCCAGGTAATATTGGGGATGGTGGGGGAGGAACCCAGAAAGGGTTGGAATGAGGAGGAAGGATCCAGGGTGGGATTGAAGGGGAGGGGTGCTGGGAGAATTAATGATGGGGGAAAGGATCCAGGGAGTCCTGGGGGGATCACACATCCCCAGATAATATGGAGGATGGTTGGGGAGGAACCCAGAAAGGGTTGGAATGAGGAGGAAGGATCCAGGGTGGGATTGAAGGTGAGGGGTGCTGGGAGAATTAATGATGGGGGAAAGGATCCAGGGAGTCCTGGGGGGGATCACACATCCCCAGATAATATGGAGGATGGTTGGGGAGGAACCCAGAAAGGGTTGGAATGAGGAGGAAGGATCCAGGGTGGGATTGAAGGTGGGAGGTGCTGTGGGAATTAATGATGGAGGAAAGGATCCAGAAGGTCCTGGGGGGTCACACATCCCCAGGTAATATTGGGGATGGGAGGAGGAAGGAACCCAGACAAGGTTGGAATGAGAAGGAAGGATCCAGGGTGGGATTGAAGGTGGGAGGTGCTGTGGGAATCAATGATGGGGGAAAGGATGCAGGTGTCCTGAGGGGGTCACACATCCCCAGATAATATGGCTGGGGAGGAACCCAGACAGGGTTGGAATAAGGAGGAAGGATCCAGGCTGGGATTGAATGTGAGGGGTGCTGTGGGAATTAATGATTGGGGAAAGGATGCAGGGGGTCCTGGGAGGGGGTCATACATCTCCAGATAATATGGGGGATGGTTGGGGAGGAACCCAGACAGGGTTGGAATTAGAAGGAAGGATCCAGGGTGGGATTGAAGGTGGGGGGTGCTGTGGGAATTAATGATGGGGGAAAGGATCCAGAGGGTCCTGGGGGGTCACACACCCCCAGGTAATATTGGGGATGGTTGGGGAGGAACCCAGACAGGGTTGGAATAAGGAGGAAGGATCCAGGGTAGGATTGAAGGTGAGGGGTGCTGGGAGAATTTATGATGGGGGAAAGGATCCAGGTGGTCTGGGAGGGGTCACACATCCCCAGATAATATGGGAGATGGAAGGGGGGGAAGGAACACAGGGCTGGAATGGGAGGGAAGGATCCAGGGTGGGATTGAAGGTGGGAGGTGCTGTGGGAATTAATGATGGGGGAAAGGATCCAGAGGGTCCGGGGTGGGGGTCACACATCCCCAGGTAATACTGGAGATGGGGGGGGAGGAACACAGGATTGGAATGGGAGGGAAGGATCCAGGGTGGGATTGAAGGTGGGGGGTGCTGGGAGAATTAGTGATGGAGAGAAGGACCAAGGGGGTCCCTGGGGGGTCACACACAGATAATACTGGGGATGGGGGGAGGAAGGAACCCAGACAAGGTTGGAATGAGGGGGGAAGGATTATGGGGTGAGGATGGGATTGAAGGTGGGGGCTGCTGTGAGCATTAAGGGTCCCAGGGGGTCCCACACACCAGACCCCCAGGGTAATATTGGGCAGAGGGAGGGGGCAGGGACCCAGACAGAGTTAAGGGGGAGCTCCGACGTAGAGGTGACAGCCGAAGAAAACGACCCGAATGGGGTGAGGGGGGCGATTATCAGCTGAGACACTGACGAAGGGACCCGCCCCCGAGGGGGCACCGGGACCCCCGTGCCCGAGGCCGGGGGGCTCAGAGCCAGGCTGGGCAGGATAATCAGGTGATACCCACACGAAAGGACAGCGAGGCCGCGGTGGGTGAGGGATGGGGAGGGGGCTCAGCCGCAGAAGGCGAGGGATGGCGGGGGTTGGGGGAGGATGGGGGGGGCGGCGGGGCGGGGCAGGGCGGCGGCCGCCCGCAGCAGGCCCGAGGCGCGAGCGGGCGGCGGCCGCTCCTCACCGTGAGGCCGGTGCCCAGCACGATCACGTCGTACTCCTCATTCATGGCGGCGCGGCGGTGTCGCGGCGGGTGTCTCCGGGCCGGGGGCTGAGGCGGAGCGGGCGCTGCGCGGGGGCCGCGGGAGCGCGAGAAAATGGAGCCGCCGCCGTGAGGGGACCGCGCCGGGGGGGGCGGGGCCGGGCCGCCCGCGCCCCGCCCACGCGCCTGCCAATCACCGCCCGGTCCGCCGCGCCATTGGCCGGCGGGGCTGTCAATCAAAGGGCGGGCGCGCGGCGGGCGCGGGCGGCGCTGCCACCGTGGTGGGGGGCGCGGCGCGCATGCGCAGTGCGGTCCCTCGCCCTCCTCGCCCGGGAACCGATCGGGGGGTCCCCAATTTTTGGGGGGGGGAATTCTGGGGAGTGTGTCTTGATTTGGGGAGTTTTCCTCGATTTAGGGGAGATCACCAATTTAG